GATCTGTTTGACAGACCAAAAACAAAATGTGTCGCAACTTATAAATATTCTCCAACCACAATTTGAACTAAAAGTTTCGTAAAAGTTTTTAAACATACAGTAGTTGTAGAAAAACTTCTACGAGAACCTTTTCCAATTTATAATTTCATTTAATTTCCAATGGGAAACCGTTGGGACACGTTTAAATTTGGCAATCGTTGACATTGAATAATTTAATCCTTTTCAAGCGAGACCTTTGCAGTTGTCGCTTGAGACTTGGGCTGATGGGAAAGTGAGTTGTAAACTTTTCAAGTTGTCGCCGTTAGCCCTCATTAACTTTTTCCTTAGCTAAGCGAGCAGAACGCAAGACTTTTTATCTGGCATCCTTGAGACATTTTAGTTAAACTCAAGTGATATCAGAGCTTAACACTTATCTTCTATCTATTTGATAAGATTTATATAAAAATATTTACTCTGTTGATGGGAGGACCCTCGACAAGGATTAAAGGTTGCTTTTCTTGTCCCTTGATAAAGGATATTTAGTTTTTTTTTCAACATTTTGGTTTTCAATTGGTCGCTTTCAATTATATATATATGTATGCAGATCCAATCAATATAGTCAGAGCTCGCTCAAGTGACCGTTTTGCTCAAGAGTCCCTAACATTCATACCCTTTCGCCTTTTTCCCCCCAGTCTGGGGGTCATTTTGACAGTTTGAGTGGTTTTGGTTGTCAGTTATAGCATTTGAGAGACCGGAAAAGCTTGTCTGTGAAAAATACTTTTGCATTTATTATTAGCGTTGGGTTGACTGTTGTCGAAAAAGAAGCTAGAGATGTTGGATAAGTTTTAAAAGCATTTTTATAATGTTAAAATTTTTGAAATCATAGTAAAGCTTTGACACACTTTGGTTATAAAATTGGATTAGTTTGATTAAAACTCAATTACAGACTTGGCTCTATAACGTCCTTGAGCTGCTTTCACATGTGCATGCCGATGAGAAATTTCCACTGCTGCTTCGCCTTTACTGCTATATATATTCCGTTGCTTGTGTCCCATACACAAATGCAATTAATTTATGCTGACCGAGCTTCGCTCCTTGAATGTTCACCGTTCTGTCAACCACTTCGGCAGCAAAAGTAACAGATAAGCTGCCTGGATAAGAGGAGGTTTCGAGGAACGATGTGGGTTCGATTAAGAGTTTGGGTACATTAATCACAGCAAGGATTCAGTGCATCAATAAAAATGAAACCCCACATATACGCTATTGTGAAGAAGGAAAAATGGCGACAGGAAAGTGCACCTTTTAAATCTCGAACCGGAAAAAGCATTTTCCGTGCGTAAAACTTTCACTATTGGGAAAAAAGATTTAATTTTGAAGTCGCCTATTAAATATTTTATATCAAAGGATTTTCGAAAGTGTGTACGCGTATGTCAGGCACATAAACTCCAATTAAGCGAAAGTCATTAAGAGCAATTTGAGGCGAGTGCAACATACTATTAAGCTGCACAATAGACTGAATATACGGGGTCATTAAGCATCTGTCTGTAGTCTCATCATCAGAACAATTAGAGTGGGTAAATGCAGAGAACATACCGATGAGGCAACAAATCGTCTTGTGTTTTCTCTGTGATAATGAATCCATGAGTTATGAATAACTTAATAGTGTTTAAACTTGAACAAGGAATAAACTTAAAAGCACTTTAACAGATTAAAGATAGTAAACACCTAGAAGACACCTGCATTTTATCATTTTTTATGTAGAAGACATCCTCTGTATACCATCTAAGCCGAACTAACTTGTCTTTTTCTAACACCTCACACGTGGCTGGCTGCCTGGGCATCATAGTGTCAACTGGTAAAGTGTTTACTCCCACAAATGGCTACCTGACTAGACTAACTGATTAGATGATGGCGGTATGTCGGTAGGATGTCCTTCTCAAGTGATGATGCAGTTGATTTGATGGGGTGGTGGAGCAGGAGGTCATCATCAAGATTACATCATCTAATTTCAATTAGACGCATTTCAAGCTTCAGTCAATTAAGTCGAGTATTTTGCAGGGAGTGCTAATGGTTAGCTAACGACCTTTTCTAGCTCATCTCGATGTTGCTTTCGTCACCGTCAAGGTTAATTAAAACATAAACTATTTTAACTGAATGCTCTCGTTGGGAATTGGATAGCTGCTGCAGCCATCAGACACGAATTTGCTGATTAAGTTCATCCCGCTTATGCAACAAATTATGCGTTGCTGTGGCTCGGTCCTGGGGGCGTCGCTCCGCCCCCAAAAAACCGATTTCATTAATTATTCAACGCACAGTTCGCCCCTCTGGGGGCCCACTACTGGTGATTTAACAGCCGAAAGCATTAGCTGGCACTTTCTTGTCTGGTTTGGTTTGGTTTCGTTTGGTTTGTTGAGGCTTGGTCTGCTCTTCCAAGGAGTCTTTTTCGTCCTTGTCCTCGGTGTCAACTTAAGCATGTGCCGACTGTATAATGAATTGTGGGTTTCATGCTGGATGGAAGAGATTTCTGCTGGTCTGTTCTTGATGTCATGTATTACTCACCAAAATTGGTTTAGATTGGATTGGATTAGGTTGTGTTGCTTGATTGCACTTGTCCCCTCCCTATTTTTGTTTATGAAAATGAATTGGGATCATTTGTTTATATTTACTTACGGAATACATCTGAAAAGTCTATGAATGAATTTTGTGGATGAATTGATATAAGTTATAAGACTTATTTTTATATTTAATTTACAAAAAGGGGGGAAACCGTTTGTTAAAATGTAGTAAGTACAATAGCTTATGGTATTTTGTTGTTATATAATTTGATTAAGCTCATATGCTGAATATTTTATTTGGGTTTCCTACAGCCAATACCTCTCTTTATTAAGCCTTATTACGTAAAGCAAACAGGTTAAAGTAATCAAACAAATTTTTGTCGCCTTCAAGGACGCACGAATTTTTATAGGTCCTAAGCCCCATTAACATATGACCAACCTAGACCGACAATAAAGTGTTTTGAGCCCCTAACTACGTTTTTTCCCCCACAATGCCTTGAATTTGATTTCTTAATCCCCCAGGAGAGGCGCACTATGCACAACGCGTTCTTCGTCCGCAGAGGTCGTTCTGTTTGTGATCCATTCTTTTGTGACAATTTTATGAGCAACGCGTGAGGGTTCCATGGCTAAACACATTGCTGTGTGTGTTTAGCATAACAAAATGGCAATCGTACACCGGTTACATTGATTGCGTACGAGCTTTAAATCCTGCGGGGTGGTTGGTCGGTATTCCGATTTCCGGCAAGAGATATGTGATGGAATTTACCACAGACAAATTCACAGTTCATTTGCCATGTAACAGCATCGCTTCGATTTTCCGTTGTATTTGTTTTATTTTTGGAATTAATTAAAAAATTTCACATTTCGTGATTTACTCAGCTGCCGAAATGTGCACTGCACACATTTCAGTTCGTGAAACATTTGCGGTTTACTCTTGTCGTTTGTAATTAGTTTTATAAATATATCGGCATAAAGACATTGCAATTGTATTTACAATTTGTTTGCTCTAAGCTTTGCTTTTAGCTTGCAGCCTTAACAAACTCGCTTTTGTTTGCAAGTCGCGGCATATCGCAGAATAAGCTGTTTAAATTAATATCTAATTATGCTAATGAGTGGGTAGAGAGGCTTAGTAAGATGTTCCGATGTGTAATTAATGATGAGGAATTTCTCTTGTGCAAAAGCAAGCTAAATAACTCATTACAAAATGCGGTCTATTTTAGTTGACGAGAGCTTCTTGGGAATTAAGGAATTTTGAGCTTTTAGGTGAAGGTTCATAGAATTCAATTAGTATTTATGGTAATCAAAGGATTTGTGAAAATTTAATTTGCAATTCAATTTCAATTTCAAAGGCCAATAGAAATAAAAATAAATCAAGTGAAAAATATAAAAGCGTATTACTAAATATTTCTAGGAACTCAGCCAAGAGAAAGCAATTTAATCTGAAATGGAAACACAAAGTTCGTTATGTCCTGACCTTGAACAGTCATTTTTCACATCCTTATCGCTGTGAAGGCAAAAACAGTCGGGCTTTCTTAATGAGCTCGATGAACTTAAAAGCCACCAACCATTATTATTATTCTTATCAAAGGAAAACATTGGCAACGAACCAACCCCCAACACTTGAGGTCATTGCAAGTGGCATTTGTCATTAGCGAAATTTAAAGTGAAAGCTGTTGATAGTCACAAGGACATTAGTGGTGGCAGGAAGTCCTTGCCCGCTATCAATTTTAGCGCAGCTCTGACTATTCATTTTTGCTCGCTGCAATTTTCTCTTCTCATTGAGAAATTACTTTTGTGCGAGTTGCAAGGAAGTTAATAATTAATTACGACCCAGCGAACCTTTAACCAAGTTGCTTTTAAACAAGAAACTTTGGCAACAATCATCGCCTTGCAACAAAAACATTGTTTTTGAACAGCTGCTCGTAAAATTATATAATTGCTATTTTAAATTTTTTAACTTAACTTTGCCCTTCATTATAACTTTTTTTGGTTTCTGATTTTTCTCGTTGTGTTTAAATGGTCATTAGTTTGGTCAAAGGCGGACTTTCACTTGACATTATGTTATTCCTCAGAGAAAGAGAACCTCTAGTTTCTTGGCTGCATTTCCCCTTTCCCACTTTTCCTTTACATTGGACGATGTAGCAACCTTTTCCTAATTAAAAGTTCTGACTTATGTTTGTTGTTGATGTTTTAACCATGCCAGGTTAGCTTATTTGTGGTTTGCTTTCTTGTTGTGGGGCGATCTGGTCTGTATCTACTTGACTAAATGATTTTCAAAACTTTTACATAAATTAGATTCAACATATTTTTCGTTTGATATTTATCATTATTTTTCTCGTGCCTTAAAGCCCGGTTTATTAATTTAGTTAAGCTAAAGCTTTAAAAGGGAGAAGAACTTCAAGATGCCTTCTAGAAGTAATCTTAATTATATCTTAATATTTATCTCTGTTTTATATTTTTTTTTAGCTTCCCGCCAATTACGCCGTAAAGTGCCCTACGCCGGTCATTTGATGACGCCGCGTCGCCTCTGGCTCAATAAAATTCCCACCCAATGTGACGTGGTTATTGAATTTCCCGAGGATGCCCCGGACGAGGCGCTCCGTTGGCTCCTGGCCCGCATCCGTGCCCAGCCGCCAGCTGGTCTGGGGCTCCTGGTCCAGGTCAAGGCGCACGAGAGCACGCGGCGGAATGCTTTCTATGTCAGTGCTCCGGTTAATGTGTAAGTGGCATCCTCTGACTTCTGACTGGTGCTAACTTTAATTAAAAAGTTTATTCAAAGGTTTCATATTCCTTCTTTTTATATTAAACCTTGGTAGTTGTTTAAATTAAAACCATTTTTTACGATATACTGTGTGCAAAAAAAAATGCTTTTTATTTGTATGTAGCATTCGTTGTTTGAAAGAAAATAAAAATAGTATGTCATAAAGATATTAATATTAAGATAAATTGAAAACTGTAATATCAGTAACACTCCGTCGCAGAGCTTGGAGTTCTTGCTTCTCTCTACTGCTATAGTTATGCTATAGTTATTTATATAACATTATATATAATATTCCTTTAGATAAAATATATCTGTTTATTTTCATACTTGTCATACATAACTAGAAGATCAAAATTGACATTTCATCTCTTTGGACAAGTGCTTAGAAATATATCAGTTTTGGAGAAGTTCTTATTGGTCTAACGAAACAAACCACATACTTTCTAGCCTTTTTAGAGCTGCCGAAGAAGCCCGCCTGCCCAAACGTCTGCGTCCGGATTTGGGTGGTGCTCTGAGGGAGTTTACCACCCGCGAAAGTCATTGTTTCCAGCAGTTGCGTGGTGATGTTGGTAGCACGGCTCTATTCACCTCCCAGGAGCGCCAGTGGCTCGTCCTTCAGGTCCTGCAGGGTCTGCGCGCCGGCTGCAGTGACATCGATGCCCTCCACGGACGGGCTGCCGTCGCCGAGGGTCAGAGCATCGTGGCCGCCTGGCAGGACTCCGGCCTGATCACCCAGGTCTTCCCGCTCCACGAGCCAAGTTCGCTGACTCAGCTCCAGACGCACTGGGTCAAGCAGATATTCGCCCCACAACCGCTGGGTAAGTTAGGTCGCTTCACGGATAAAATATCATAAAATTATGATATATATATATTATTTGGGTACTTCTGAATGCAAGTATCGTCTATTAAAAGATTCTTAAAAGTCAAAGATTTGAGATTTTGAAAAGTTTTTGGTTCAAGATTAGTATTCTGTAGATAAAATCCTTTCACAATCATTAACGTTTAATCTTAAGGCAAAAAGAAATTTCTGATTTCATCGACCCTTGTTAGTTGTGATAATTATTAAGTGCACATTTAATAATATTCCTTTTTTTCAGATGACATTGCTGCCTATTTTGGCGTAAAGGTTGCGTTGTACTTCGCGTGGCTGGGTCATTACACCTGCGCTCTGGGCGTACCGGCTGTGTTTGGCACCATTCTGTACTGTGTGCTGTGGGGCAAGGGTCAGACGGCTCAGGACATGGGCCACGTGCTCTTCTCCCTGTTCAATGTGGCCTGGGCTTCACTGTATCTGGAAGCCTGGAAGCGGTATTCCGTGGAGTTGGCCTTTCGCTGGGGCACTTTGTCAACGCCGCCCGAATTGCTGGAACCACCGAGGCCCTTGTACAAGGTGAGGGCAACAGAAGTTATTGACAATTTGTTTGATTAATCGTCTATCTCGGATCATTGCTCAAGGGCCCTCTGGAGGAGAACAATGTGACGGGTCGTTTGGAGCCCAAGGAGGCACCTGCCTGGCAGCGTCGGGCGTTTCGCTATCTGGTCAGCTTTCCCATTATCGGATGCTGCCTGTGTGTGGTCTTTGCTGTGATGTTCCTCATGCTGCGCTTTCAGGTGAGTGCGGTAAACTTTATCAATATTTATCCACGTCCTGAGGTGTGTGTGTAAAATATCGTTATCCCGAATATGCCCTTGCAAATTTAAAGCACTATGGAAGAAAACTTAATTTTGGTTTGCCCAAGCTTATGCTCTTATGTTAATTTATCAAATTTTAGAAAATGTATATATTTTTCGGAAGCGTAAATGTCTTTTTAAAATAAGATGCTTTTTTTAACGTTTACCGAGTCAAGTGCTTATAAAAAAAGTTCCCCAATAATATGGCTGTAAATTTATCAATGTATTTTGTAGAAAAATATTAGAATTTTTTGAAAATGAAGTATTCATCCTTGTTATTTTTATAAAATTGTACATATGTATACTTATATCTCAAATTAAAAATATTCTTTAATCATAAGCTTATTCTTCTTTCATTACGGTTTATTTTTTCTTAGTGTAAACAAAATCATTGTCATATAATCATACATTTATGGGCAATCGAAGTACATTTCAGGTGCTTCCCAAATCCATAAAGCTTTATTATTATTTGCAAGGGTATGCAAGGCACTTCCCGATCAAGGCATTCGTGCTGCGACCGAAGCTGTTCCACAGTGCGTATAATTAATATTGTTTTCACGTTAAGCAAATATACCAATTTGTTTGCGCGCGTGTGTGGGTATTCGTGTGAATGTCTGCTTATCAATTTGGTGGGTTTTTCTTACTTTTTTCACGCTTTACGAGAATTAACCAAAGTACACACGCACACGCGCATATTTGAACTGCCTTTGCACACACACACACACATTGATAATTGTCCGGTTTCCGGTTGACATTGTTGCTGCTTTCACTTCCGCTACTGCAATGACCTACTTTAAGCAATTTTTTTCTGTTTGTTTTGCTTTATTCTAAAGTTAAAGAGATAAGGACATAGTAAACTAAGTTTTTCACTCATCACACATCATTGAATTATTTTTACATTTTTCTTTTCGTTTTCCTTTGGTTTTTATGTTGTTTTTCTATTTTGTATACTTCACAGGATTGGCTGGATCACCATAACATACCAGATAAAGGAATTGCTCAATGCATGTATAATTTGCACAAGGTTCTTATTCATTTTTAACTTGCATTTAAATTATTTAGTATGAGTATTGTGTGATTGAGTAACCCACGAATTTGTGTTGTAGTCGCCAAATCACAATCATTGAAGATGGGGGGTATTTGTAAGCTAGTTATGAGCTCATTTTGCTTGTTTGTAAAGGTAATATTGCCGCTTGTTTTTTGAACTAAATAAACTTTATAAATGGACCAATTTCTTGTTTCTTCAAAGAATATTGCAAAACAGGACTTGTAGTCTATGATATGTATTTAATCAAAACAGTTTCGATTCCACACAAAGGAATTGTTAATGGTTTTTGCTGTTGTCGGTATTGTTAATCAAGCTTTTTTTCATTAAAAGTTTTCCACACATATGCACTTTTTTCAAATTCCTTTTTTTTGCAATGCCTTTGGGCCATCGGTGTGCATACGCAATATTTTTTTTTTTCTTACCAACCCAAGCTGACGTTAATTAAAATGCTCAGCTGGCGAAAAATAAACCGCCTTTGGGAAACTAAAGATAGACACAGAAGGGAGAACGAGTACAGCAAAAAATGTGAGAGTTGGTCATCCCAACAACGACGACGTTGATAAAGTACTAGAGAACTTTGGTTGACATAACGAAATTTTACGCATAATTGAAAGTCTAGGACTAAAGCAAAGAACGAAGGACAAACAAAAAGAATAATAGAAAACTTGTGTTACTTTCTAAAACTCTGATTTTAAATCCTTTGGGAAATAAGTTTTCATTTCTTTCTGCTAAGAATATGTTTTTAAGAGATAATTGCGAAATTTACTGCGAGATAAATAGAGACGTTTATGGGCTTTAATGTCTGTTTTGAAAACTAGTTTATTCTCCAGATATATTTTTTGGTCTCTTATTTTTTTAAAGCTTTTAAAGGAGAATACGAAAAACGTATTTGGTTTGATTTTTCATCCATAATGTATGCAATACATTTTTATTTAGTAGTAGTTAGCCTTTGCCAGCAGATACATATCTCTATCATCTGCTCATGTCATTAGAAAAGTTAAAAAGCTGCCATCGCAGTGGACTGAGCCTTACAACTCACTAATCGGAGAATGGACAATTTAGTAGTTGTTTTTTGGCCGTTGGCAACCATTCGCTGTTTGCAGGTAGTTCCATCTGGCTTACTGCGCACCCGAAAGCCAAGTTACAATGGCATTTTTGGTTCGGTTCACTTTGGTGCCCAACCGAGCAGCTAAATGTTGTCGTAATGAAGCGTACCAGGTGACATGGGGCATACTCTGTGTGCCTCCGTGCGGTTATGGTGGTATTTGTCAAAAGCAGACTATTGTGCTTTTAGGACTTGGTTAACTGGAAAACATGGACCAAAACAAAAATAAAATCTAATGTATTCAATAAGCTGAGAGACTAGACTGTCAAACCCTAAATTTACACAGTATCATTTCGAAAAAATTGTCAGTAGTATAGAATTAAAATTCATCAAACATATTACGCTAATCAATTAAAAGCTTCAATTGAAAAAGTTAAAAATTAAATTCGTCCAACTATAAAATTAATTAAACGGCGCAAAGTGCGGTTAATTAAGTTTGATACAAAAAAATTGTCTGAATTGAGACAAATGGAGCAGGCTTTTTTGTTCTGCCATTTAACAATAGCCGCTTTTATGGAGAACGCGTTTTACATTTAAATGACTCGTTATATTTTGAAAAACAAGGACTGCATTGGGCCAAACACACTGCTTGTCGCCAAAAAGTGCTGTTAATCCTCGGAAATGACTTGTAATGTAATCAAATTGAGTTAACACTCAATATGCGTTTCATTAGCTGGCAAAAGAGAAGTGTGCGCAAGGGGTCAGTGGAAGAATGAATAATAATGACAGGTTAATTAAGGAAAAACATGGCCATGGTGGCGGAAATTGATGGTTACTCGACAAAGAGTGGGCAATAATGATTAATGCTGATGTTTAACACAGGTTGCGTGTGTCAGCTAATAAACTACTATTAACTATAAATTTTATAAAACTATATTTTTGTATTCAATTTCCACAGGACTGGTGGGACTCGAAGTTGCCCGAGGAAAGTGTTTTATGCTGTCTCAGTGTCATACCAAAAGTCCTGCTGGCAGGAGCCATTACTTTAATGGACGAGGCCTACTTTAAGTTGGCCGTTTGGCTTAATGACAGGGGTAACTTTAAATTTAAATGGATGTGCCATAATCTCTTAAATTCTTAATTTCCCTCACAGAAAACTATCGCCTGCAGTCGAAATATGAGAATCATTTAATAGCCAAGGTGGCTCTTTTCCAGTTCGTCAACTCTTTTCTATCGCTCTTCTATATTGCTTTCTATTTGAGGGATGAGGAGAAGCTCAAAGAGGTGCGTTTTTTTGATAAGTACACCATATTTTTTAATATTTGTTTTTTTTATTTATCACTAGCAACTGGCTGGTCTGCTCATCTCGCGCCAAATTATTGGAAATCTTCGCGAATCGGCAATTCCGTACTTTGTTGAACAATGGAAATTGGCCAAATTGAGCTTCAACATGTGGGGTGCTTTAAGTCCTACCCAAAATGTGACTCGCAGTCTGGCCGAGGAACTGGCCACTGCCGAAGCGGAACTGAAAGCCGAGAGTACTGCCACGCCCACCAGGACCCATCAGCCGGAGGCGTCCAGTAAGAGGAATATTGGTCAGGCCGAAATTGAGAGCTCGTTGTACAAGGTGATTGACATCTTTCAAGTATTGAATTTCTTCTTGACATCTCTCGTTTTGCCATTCCCCACAGTACGATGGCACTTTCTCGGACCATTTGGAGATGCTCGTTCAAATGGGCTATGTGGTGCTCTTTTCGGCCGCCTTTCCACTGGCCGGAGTTTGTGCTCTGATCAATAACCTGATGGAGATTCGCTCAGATGCCTTCAAGCTGGCCCATGTACATCAGCGGCCATTTGGGCAGCGTGTGGCCAACATCGGCACCTGGCAAAACGCCTTGAGCATTCTATCACTCGCCGCAGTCATCGTTAATTGTGCCCTGATTGGCCTTTCTGGACAAGTGTCGAGGCTGTGGCCAGGATTGACCACCGCGCAGACCATCATTCTGATTGTCACCCTTGAGGTTAGTTTATTTAAAAACTGAACGATTGACAAATTGACTCTTAAATCATACTTAATCATACATCACCACTTTTCCTTGATTTCTTGTTTTTTGTTGACAGTTTAGAAAACATGTGACGATTTAGTTTCATAATGCTCTGTTAAAAGATAAACCAATTATTTGTATAGTCAAGAAGTGCGAAGATTAAGATTAGTGTTATTAAATAGTACTAAAATGTATAAATGCATAATACAAAATTATTTAGATTTTTTTTCCTGCCAGATACGATACCCAGAGAAATTTTCACGAGCAATTAATGTTACTTTTGTACGATACAAATTTTACAATACAATATTTTAACTACATTAAAATGGCCTTCTTTGCTAGCAAACTTCAATGGTAGTTATGTACTTATTGTAATATAGTTGATATTTATTTTTATTTAATTAAGATTTAAATTTTAAAACGTTAATTTTAAAAGTACATATATTTCCCAGTATATTATAAAAAATATTTATATTTTTTTTATATCTTTGGCTACGCAGCACATAATGTTGGGTCTGCGGCAGGCATTAACTTGGCTCCTGCCGGAGTTGCCCTCATGGTTGGCGGCGGAAATCGCACGGGCCGAGCATTGCCGCCGGGAAATGCAGTGCAAGGGGACCTCGCCACGACCCACACCCCCGACTCCACAGTCCACGACGTCCACGCAGCCGGAACAGGAGGCTAGCAACGGGGCAAACACCACCCGAGATCAGTCCATGGAGAGCCAGGTGGCCGAGGATATGCTGCTCTACGGACAGGAGTTCGCTGGCTATGGGCGTAACATCGAGGCGGATGTTAATATTTATGAGAATCGTGATTCATCACCCGACTCGCCGCCCTCGCAGGTCAGTAAATTAACTAACTATAAGTCTTGAACTCAAAATAGTGTTACATTTTGCTTGACTTTTCAGACCAGCACCATTCTGATTAGACCGCTGCACGAGTCAACGCCACCGCATGGTGGTGCCTCCCTGTCCAGTCTGCATCAGGACGGTAATGGCGGGTGAGTTCCTCATGCATTAAAATAATAACAATCGAGTGTGGGTCCGCACAACTTAAGTATTTTCTACACGCCAAGGTGCCGGAGAAATCCCTAATCGTTCCATGAACTTAATGAACATGCACTGGAAAGTTCACGAGGTCATGATAAACATATTTTTCACTTACAAAATCTTTCTATTTATTTATTTATTCGCCAATGGATATATCCTTATCTGGCTATCACCTAACTTAACTTAAAACTAAGTATTAATTAAGTATTAATTAAAAAATATTCCCTAAGTAATTGCCTACTACTATTTACTTTTATACACTTGTTTTTTTTATTATTAAATTTCCCTTAAATCGTTTTCGCTCCCTTTAAATTAAGCTAAATTGCATTTGTTTTTTTGATAGAGCTTATCAGAGTTGTGTTAGGAAATCGAAAATAATTATACCGGAAATTCCGCCATATCTGGGAAACTCAGTGCGAAATTTAACAACTTTGGCTGGTGGCAATCCGAGAATGTCACACCAACAGAAGCTACAAAGCGGGTAAATTTTGGATGGATAGTTTGGTTAGATAGATCAATGTGCGTTTCGAAACATGTTTTAGATGCTTTCGATGCTGTAATTTTAGTGATCTAATACTGGTTTTGGTTTGCTCATATAAACTATATTACTTAATAGTTTAAAAGGTGATGTTTTCCAAGGAAGCAACTAAAATCGGTATTAGGTCTGCTTTACTTTCTGCTGCGTTTCTACCCTTTCCGAGCCTCTAAAATTTGTGCAATCAAAACTTCTCCAAATTGGCCAACCTGCTCTGTCCTAGCTACCTACTTTATAAATGATAAAACAATTACTACCTGTTGTTTATACTACTTTTTCTTACACTTTTCTTTAAATTTTGTACTTTATTCTCTCTCTCTCTCTCTTTGTTGCTTTTTGGCACTTCAGGGCTTCTGCCAGCACACTAGCTCTGAACTCGGCCTTAAATGCAACTCGCATGCATATACAAGAAATACCACCGTTCCGAAAGAAATCGACCGATTCAGCGGAAAGCGCCAGTAGCAGTCCCCAGCGTACGACTATGCGACAATTATCAGCCCAGCGGGATCCGCAGCAGACGATCCCCGAGATACCACCGTACAAGACGCGTAAAATATCCGCGGAGAGTGCCATGCATCTGAATATGAGCGTAAGATCTGGGGGAAGACTCTATGTATATTTTATAAGCCGGAATACATATCTCCCTTTCAAAAGAATTTCCCTAGTCAAATGGCGTACTGTGTCATTGATTGTAGCTGCTCAATGTACTTTGTGTGTCTGTAGACTCTTGCATTAACTATCAAAAAGCCACGATACTGGTTGCCTTACTTCAAACCTGTAGTTTCTCACCGCTCTACTTGACTTCCCCAGCAATTAAATTTTATTGAATCACATTAAAGATTTAGAAATACAGATTTAGATAACTTTAAGTTAAAGAATTTGAGCTTCTATCTTTTGTATAGTTGACCGATCTAAAATAGTTCGACTATAATGCCTATTTAATGTTTTTCTCAAAAAAGAAAAAACCCAAAATTATGTACAAATGTTTGAGACTATAAATTATATCAGGATTTTTTATTTTCAAGCTACATTTTTTCATCTTAAGGTTAAAGTTACTTAATGTTTTTTAATGAAACTAAAATCAGTGGGTAAATCTCAAAAATAACTTATTAAAAATAACAGAGAAAACAAATAGCACTGCCCAATCTCCCCCACTGCCAAGAAAACCAAAAAAAAAAAAAAAAACAAATTAAATACTACTCACCTAACCTAAAACCCCGCTCGAATTTTGCCGTTTAAAGGACAAGCTACACATAAAACTTCATGCACCAGAATGGATGTCACGTTTAAAAGTCAACGACAATGCAAATCTGCATAGAAGCATAGATTGTATTTCAAAGGTAGTGGAGAGATACATACTCTTACTATAATATAAACATATATCTATCCAAACGGGATTCATATACATACAAATAATGTGTTTGTTACTCAATGTGTGTTGTTGGTGTTTACTTTGAAATTACAGGATCAGTAGAAATGTATCAATAGTTGTAATCATACCGTTAAAACCTTGTTAAAAATTGCTTTCATTGGAACTGAAGTTGCGGGAAGGGAGAAGAATGAAATACCAAATTTATATTTGGCATGTCAGATGCGCTTTCATATACACAAAACCACGCTGGCTTCTCTATATCACACTCACAAAATCCACTCACTAACAAATGGCATGGATTGATAGCATTCAACACAAATCCCAGTCTTTCCTCCCCATAAGCTTTCGATGTCGATAGATTTGAAAATTTAAATGTATTCCAAAGCAAGCAGCTAAATATCTTGATTTATTTTGCTAAATCTCAAGGAACTTGGCAACACGGCAGACACAGCGGATGTTCTGAAGCCAGCTCCTTCATGGTGCAATGTGGCCATTAGGTCGGCGGCACCACCTGGCCACATTTTGGCCACCCCACCAGCTTCCCAGCCTCAGCAGCATATAGTCGCCTCTTCATCCTCATCCTCCGGCGGCGGCGGCAGCGTCTTCAGTCCCAGTGGCGCTGGGCCAACTGGAGGTGCAGTCGGGATCAGTAATTCCCAGTCAAGACCCAGTGTTGGCGCACTATCCAACTCCTCGTCCAATTCGTCCCACAAACAGCAGCTGAAGCAGCAGGCCAAGGAAGAAAAGGAGCGGGCCAAGGAGGAAAAGCAGTTGGCCAAGGAGGAAAAGCAGTTGGCCAAGGAGGAAAAGGAGCGGGATAAGGAAAGGGAGAAGGAACGACAAAGGGAAAAGGAGAGAGAGAAAGAAAAAGAGAAGGAAAAGGATGCACAGGGAGCTGCAGCATCCACATCTACAGCAACTACCGATGATGAGGCTAAAGGTAAGTTCAATTTAAAGTTTCATAACTCAAAAAAATAATATAATTTATAAAGAGACTTTGCTGTCCAGAAATACCCATTTATTTATTTCAACTATATCCAATGCTGACCTTAAGTTTTGCAAGCAAATAAACTTAAATTTATATATTAATTTACAGATCAACTTCAACCTTTAAAAATTTAAGGTTTTTTTATACTAGTATAATCGAACAAATTTTGTGGTTTTTAACATGAGCGCATATTAATTTAATTAATATAACAAATTTTAAGGATTTCAAAACACACGTTTTCAATTTCATATAAATCAAAAAAAAAAATATAAAAGAACTAATGTGACCAAAAAATGTTAATATCATTTTAAAAATATATGCACTAAAATCGATTGATTTATAGAAAAAATATTGTTATAGCTGCAAGGGTGTACAAATTTTCGCTAGCTGAATTCTGCTACCATTTTTGTTTAAATATATTTAAAAAAAATTTGTCTGCCTTACAAAAAAATATTGTTGCTAAATTTTTGATTAACATAGGTTCATATAACGTCTAGATTCTACATTTTCTAAAGTTTAGAATGTTTCCTTATTTAATTTGCTTTTTAGCCGCTGAACTGGCCGCCAAGAAATCGCGTCTAAAGCAGAAGCTGGTGAAGAGTGCGAGGTCTGTGGCCATATTCTCGCTAAAACTCAAGGAGCGCAGACAACGTGAGGCGGAAAAGGCAGCCACCATAGCCGTTGAGCATGCCAAGGTAAGGGTTGAATCGATGACAAGCCCAACTGAAAATACAAAGATTAATCTCTGTACTTTTAGGCTCTGGCCAAGCTGCCGATGCCCCAGCCAGTGGGCGGCGAATTGTCTCTTATACCCATCGAACAACTAATACAAATTGAGGACATCATTCCCGCGATGAAGGCTGCAGCATCCACATCGGGAACGACAGCAACGACATCGTCCAGTCAAGCCGGACCATCGACGTATCAGCAGCATTACCATCCACATCCACCTTCACATGCACATCCACATACGGATAATTAGGCTTTTTAAATAATAAGAATGATTAGCCACTCGTTCGCACACTTTGTAAATAGTTTTCTATGCACCCGCCCCCATCTAGCCGAGATTTTATCGAAGTTACTGATGATATATGAGCAAATTTGCTGAATGTGTGTCTTGTCCAGAGTTGGAAGCAACTAATTAACTACCGTTTAGCGAAATTAAGTTACTCAACTAAAACGAACATGTTTTCGCGGAAATCATTTCATATACAAATTTATCAAGTTTTGTATGTATGGTGTTTAATTGAATATGTATTTAAGCCGGGTAATGTTTTTGGCAAAAACAGAATTCTGGATATAGAGCAATAATGCATCCATAGAAATCGTAGTCAGCGAAAAAAACAATAATTTTTAGATGAACAATTGTGAAACGAATTTTTGTTTAGCGTTTTAGCTGTTAATGTGTTTTTAGTAGACATTGTTGCTTAGCGTTTAGCCGTAAAACAAAAAAAAAAACAATTTGTTACTTGAAAAATGTTGAAAAAGTTACATTTGCATTTATGTTGCCAGTGACCGAATAGTTATTAATTACGAATATTAATTAACAGACACAATCAAACACTCTCACACGAAAATCAAAATCAGACAACACAACGACACGCATAACTGTGAGATAATATCGTCCATTGTTCCTTCCATATACAAGGATAACGCCTTCGCACTCGCTTTTAGCTATGGTACAACAGATCGGATATAAAACTATTACTAATTGCAGCTTGCTATCAACGGAGAAAAATATTCATTACTTGCTGCAAATATTTTCCTCGTTTTACTAAGTATTGTACTTGCTTGATCAAAACAAAACGAATATAAAAACACACTTTATCGACAGTCTAGTCAGAAGATCTACACTTTAACATAGATGCACTCAAACACAACGGATATTTGTAAATATATTGTACGAATTAAGTGTAATTTAAATAAGGTATACAAACTATACTAATGTAATGATTATATGTGCTCTTGTGTTGAAAAAAAAATTCAAAAATGTTTAAATCACTGATTTTGTTGGGTTATAAACTTGGCTTAAACATAAGACAAAAAGTATACGAAGAATACTTTTGGGGTGAACCTTATTTAATTTAAACCCATTTCTTGATAAGCCAGTAACAGTATATGATATCGATATACATATAATTTTATGGCTTATATTCAAATTTCTGACTGTTTATAGCATTGTTATTTGTATTTTATTTATACTTTCTATAATATTATTGATAATGGTTTTGTATTTACTCTATGTTTTGACAATCAAAAATTAATTTGTAGAGTCTTAAGTTTAAAAATTCGAAATCTTAAAATGCGTTTCCACAATTAAATGTACAATTTTTATTGCCGATTCCCGGTTTGATAACTATTTTCTTATCGCTATAGCCCATTAAAATTCGTTTGCTTTAACAATAATAGTATCATTCCTTTTAATTGGCATATAACTGGGTAGAACTGTGAAATATGTAAATCTTGTACACGTCCCAGATGGAACACTCGCCTTAATTAAAAGGGTCAAGGATAATGGATTGTTTAGGGTCAGCTGTGAAACTTTTCCAGAACCGATTGCACTGTCACTTGCAACCTGTCTGGATGTGGTTTAATCATTACGTTTAAATCAGATAGAACAACTGCCCTCACCACAGCCAGCACTCGATGGGTACAAGTGTTTCAGAAGAGTACGATTTGTTTTTTTTTTTTTTTTGTTTTTTTGCAACAACATTTTTCATTTTGTTTTATAGCCAAGCTTAACGAATAGTGGACACGGGTCAAGTCAAGCCTCGACACACATGGGTCTCTCGCAATTCCACGTACAAATCTCCAACCTCAGAGACCCCATACCCCATACCCCATACCTCGTTCATCGTTCATCGTCATCGTCATCGCCATCAACACATGTCATTGTTGCAGGTGAGCCGGGCTGCCTGTAACTGATTTCAGTTGGCTGATAAAATTTCTGAGCCGCACAGTCGTTGGCCATTTGCCTGTTTGACAAACGCACTCCTCACGTACGGCTAATTAACGCGCGTTTTAAGGCCTCGCTCCCGTAATCCCCAGTCACCAGACCCCAGTCCCTTCTGCCCTCAACCCACTGAGTATCAACGCTCCCTATCTGGCTGACTCCCTCCTTTGTCCCACGAGGGCACGAGTCGCATTACGAATGCATTATGGTACGAGGCTGCCGAGCTGGCCAGATTAAGTGGCATATGTTTCATACGATCACGTACTCGTAGAGTCAAATATTTATGGTGCTCAAAGTTTTTAAAATCTTTGATTTGCTATACAAAACTTCTGTCGGTATTGTACAATATGATCTCGTAATTGACAAAAAAAGTTTAGGTTTTTAGGAATTTAAATTTATTAAAAGATTTATACTCAGTAGATTCAGCTATCTTATTCACATATTTGTTTCCATTGTATTTTGCTAGGAGTTGTTTTAGTTTTGCACGTAATAGACTTTAAAAACACGTAAAATCAAGTAAAATATTGAAGTTTTATTGCAAGTAATCCATGATGGCTTATTGCATAAAAGCAACTCAAAGTGCTGAATAATACTTAAATCAAAATTGGAACTGAAATGGATTTTTACAATTTAATTAATTATCTTAAACCATGGAAAACCATCAACAACAATATGAAATCAAAATGTAATTAAATTTTTATAGCCCTTAAAGGAACTTAAAGTTTTCATATTTTTTAGCCAAAAAAAATTTAGTTTCTAAAAAATGTTAAATACTTAAAAAAAAATGCTCTTAGGTCAATTAAAAGTTGTATAATAATGGAAAAACACAATTGTATTACATTTTTTTAACTTTTTTAAAAGACCTTCATGTTTTCATATTTACTGGTGACTAAAATAATCGTTTTTATTTTTAAAAAATATTTTATTATAAAGCTTTATTTTAATATATTTTTAAACATTTTTGCTAATAAATATAGGCCTTTTCAACTACATGGCTTAGACATAACAACAGCCGACCCGAAATTGCTTAAAAAAATTTAAAAAAACGAGCAGCCATAAAATACATATCTTGAGATAAGCTTCGAAATTAAAAATAAACAAATGAAAAAATTCCTCAACATGGGGGTTACCAATCAAAATGTCCGACTCGGACATGAACACCCAAACGAAAAGTAACACTTAAAATAATGGCACACAAAGACGGTGTGTGAGGAAAGAGGTAGTTATGTAGGAAACCATAACGAGCCAAAGTTGCTATATGTACTAGTGCTTTGTGGAGATGGTGAAGGTTGGCCAAGATGGTCATGATGATGATGATGATGATGATGATGAAGGTAGCCACCAAACAGAAAACAGACAACGCTTTATGAGCGATATTACCGTAAGATAATGGACAACAACAGGCAGAGTTAAAGACTTTTTGGGGCGTTGTTTTAGGAGAAATCTCGCCGGATTCGGATTTGGATTCGTCGGAGTCTGTGCACCTGACCCGAAAATGTTTCACATTGCGCGAGTTACAGTTAAACGCCATTTTTTCCATTGAATTTTGGCTTTTACTCTTTTGCTAAAGATCTCTGGTTACGGCGAGAGTTGGGCCGTCCGGATCCCAACCAGTAGCCAGCAATTTGTTTGTCCGAAATGGTTGGTTGGGCCATTAATATGACAAAATAAAACAAAAAAAAATAAAAAAAAGTAGAGAAAAAGTCAGAGGATGCCCTCGAAAAGTAAAAATGAAACGACAGAAACGGCCACGCCTCGAGGGCGCAACGGTAAATGGCCCCCAAGACTCGGTGTTTTTTTGTTTTTTTTTTTTTCGGTAGATTCGCCTTTTCGACATTTTTGTGTAGTTTAGTCAGAGTTGCGAGAGTTTGACTGACCCATGGTTTATTCACCTGTACTCATAGCCAGCCACTGTGATTAAATTAAAATTTAAATTGCTATAACATTCGGTTGTTATTGTTGTTGTTGCCGGCATGTTGCTCTGTAGATTGTTCGTTGTTGTTTATCTTAATGAAACTTTTTAAATCACTTTTAAGAGGGGTTTGTCGGTGGCTATTAAAGCATACGCTATATGTGTATAAAGCTCACACTCTCTCGGATCTCTTTGATTTAAATGCATTTAATTTTGAGGCATGTGAAAATTAATTACATTTAATTAGCCTGGGCCCCCATCCCGTTCCGTTCGTTCTTGCCATACAACTTGCCGTTCGTTGTACGCTTTTAATGCTTTGATAATTTCAATTTTCGTTTATCCCTTACAGAAAACAGAAAACACAAAACACCCGACAAACGAGCCAACTAATAAAACTTTTAATTCAGGCAGGCTCATCCAGTAGCTCCAACTTTATGGCCCCTTCTCAAAAATACAATACAAAAGAGAGTAGAACGATCTTGAGTTTGCAGTGGGGAAGGTCACACGATTCTTTAATTGAATTTCAAACGAAATGTACTTAGACATCGACTGGCCTGATCGGTTTCTTTTTTTATTCATAGGTAACCAAATTAAACGGAAACACTGTTCTATTTTCTGTTTCTGTTTAACAAGTATTCAAATCTCATTTCAACGCAAACCAATCTGCGAATCTGGGTTTTAGTTTGTACTTAACTCAATTAAGGTTAACCTTTAGGGTGGTGGTGGACCTTCTTATCGAAACCAAGGAAATCTGCTTTCCGAAGAATCCTACAAATAGCCAGTAAAGCTTAAGTGATTCATTTGGATATTTAAATCAAGAAATTTCTATTACGTTTAAATGTAGCTATCAGATTGAAGCACAAACATTTTTTTATATCGAAAAGGTTTAAGTATACTGAAATTTGTACCTAAACTGTGTAGTATATCTCCCCAGAACAGTTAATGGCAAAAAGGTGGCATATCCGAAAGAATATGAATCAAGCAATTTTATTGATTATATGTCTCACTTGTTTAAAATATAATAAATTTTTACTAATGCTTGTAATATGATTGTTTTTGTTTTAAATTAAATATACATTTTTTTTAAAGACGTTGTATTGGGATTGAATCAAAATAAATAAAATAAGCTTTGCTTGCTTTAAAGTTTGCTGTACAATTTATAATATAAAGTATGATTTACTATGTATAGAATATTTAATATACAAGTGCGTGCTTCTTCTTTACCACTTGAAGATTATTATTTTTGTTGATTTAAAACAGAAAAAAAAGAATAAAAAGTAGGTAAAGTTATTTCCATTAGCAAAAAAGATTGAAATCCCAAGTGTAAAATTATATGGCATAAAAAACTATAAAGTCGTTTCGTTTATTATAATGTTCCGTAAGAACTTACTTCGCATACATTTACTTCTCCGACACCTGCCATTCGCCATAAAGAAGACGATTCTATTCTATTCTGAGTGTGCCATGTGACACATAGAAATCTCGCCCCTCGGGTTAATGTCTATCATCTGACTTTTGCCAAATGACAATTACTCGTTGTACTCGAACACTAAAAATGGAACTTGTTTGAGTGCAGAAACCAACAAAAACGAAGACAAAGAATGCTTTAGTGTGTAATTAAAGTAAATTTAATTAAAGAGCAAACGGTGAGTGCAAGTGGATGTCCACTAGATCTCGAAGATCTCTCATCTAGTGACAATTTATGGCACAGTTTGGCATTCGTATAACCAAAACGTGGCTAAACTGGGTACGCGGGGGGATCTTAGAGATCGCCAAGAGTGCCAAGATCTCTTCATTGCTGCGGCACGCTGAAAACTGTCAACAATTTTGATGAAAATAATTGGCCCAGCAGCTGTGGGCGACGACGACGATGGCCCCAATTACGGGTTACTGGGGGGGCGATAAAATGCGTACGTGTTCATAAATATTGTCAATTAGCGAAGGGGCCCAGCGATCGCGATCGATGGGCAGAAGATCGAATGGAGCAGAACCGAAAGGAGCCAGGGCTAATTGCAAAACTGCATCTCCTACTGCATCTCCGACTGCATCGCCGACTGCAACTGGAAACAAGTTACGCAACAATCATCAATGGGGATTGAGTTACATTTACGATCGCTCAGCCTGAGATGCCTTCTGCGCGGCGGCTGGGTTGATTGATCAAACGGTGACAATATGGCACTTACGGGTGCAATCAAAACGTGGATGGATCTCGATCCCGATACCGATGGGATGCGCCCGCAATACTCGATCTGAATCATCCAGGCTCAAGTTTAAGCTCCCAGCTCCCAGCTATCCGATCATTATTTTATAAAGCGTGCTGACTG